CGGGGTGACCCTGAGCTCGTCGTAATGATATGTTTAAGCTTGTGTAAGTTCACAGAGAACTTAGGATCTCCACCATTGTTTCGCAGAGCCTCCAAGGCCAGAAGAAATGCCTTCCGTCCCATTTATTAAGTGGTAGGTCCCAACAACTTAATAAGTGTTTCTGTCCAAACAATTTCACAGCTGTTTGAAAAAATAATAATACATGAATTAGAAGAACAGAGAATATTTGCATCCCATTCTTAAATAACTATGGTGAATTACAAAGAGGATGTATACACCTGTTGGGCACTACACAGCTTCTCCAATCTTGGAATCCAGTTGGACACCACCACTCAAATTTTCTGTTCCATGTTGATTTTCACCTGGCACTTGCTTTTAACCACAGCAACAGCCAAAACCTCAAACTTTGCAAAGTAATGGCATTACCAAAAGGAACAGTACAATCTACCGTGAACCACAAGGAGCTGGTAGTTGTGGGGACCAGCAGAGGTCGACCATCACTGTATTTCACTTGAAAGCTTAAACATCCACTGCTGTGTCCCAGGTCCCTTGGCACACAGTTTGGGAACTGTGGCTCTAGCATCTGTCTAAAACTTTATTATGATCTGTCACGCAACTTCATTGGAAAATATTTGAGGACAAGGGCCATGTCTATTCCACAGCATCTAATGTAGTTTCTTATTCGATAAATGCTCCATAAATACTGTCTTTCATTTAATCTATGATGTCATAGATTGCAAGATGCATACTGATTTCTAGAGATAGTAAAATTTTTTTAAAGTACATCATAAAATCAATGAAATACAGTAGTTATTTGAATAGGCTGGTGTGAGTTTATTGCCCATGTCTGAGTCAGTGCTGCAATTTAATATTTACCCTTGCGATATCTGTAAAAACCTAATTTCATCGGTGTTCTTATGGGCTTAAAACCCAAACATAAAAATAAATCCCAAAACAACAGAGGCCGATATACCCGCTTCCCCAGCACACACAAAACCAGTGGTCTCCCAGCTGCTGGGCTCCTGGCGATGAAAGGGAGTGAGCAGGCGACACCGCCTTCTCCCAGCTTCTTCCCTGAGTTTCGAGTTTATTTTCC